GGGAAGTAATTTCATTCAAACATCCCTTGAAAGCAATTATTTATGCTCTGCAGAAACTGGGGTAAATTTGTTGTGGTCCCATTTATTTTTTGGAGATTGAAGATTACATGTAAAATAATTTGAACACTTGATGAATAGACTCATAACTATTCGGGTAATACATTTTTTAAAAGTAGAGCAAAAGTGAATGATCCCAACCACATATCAAAGATAATTTGATCTAATTTAACTGACCCTTTGGGTGTTCTCAAACTGCTATTTTGATTTTTAAGAACACTGATCTGAGAGTTTCTTTCTGCATTCTCAAAACTTTCAGAACCAAAAATATTACTAACACAATTGGTTTTATTGAGAATTTTGTTGATTGTTGTATTCATAGGAATTACTTTAATTGTCTTTTCATGCTCTCTGCAAAAAAAAGGATCATTTTAAATCAGTGGTAAACACTTTTGTATTTGAAGAAAGACTCCTCTAGGTATCTTCTCTACCTGATATGTTCTATCTTTTAGTAATATGCATCATTTATTTTGCCACAATTATTGCAACTCAGTTGCCTCTGAGTTTTTAAAATCTCTAAGCTTCTCCTGTTTCAAGTTTCTTTACAACAGTGCTTGTCAACCTTGGTTGTACTGTCCCAATGTCCAGCCTGGACACCAGACCGATTACCTCAGAAACTCTAAAGGTGGAACCCAGATATTGGTAATTTAAAAAACTCTCAGGTGGCTTTACATGCACTTACATTTGAGAGACACTATTTAGAATAAGAAATAATCTCAGGCTATCTCACAAATTTCCTATTAATAGCCTAACATATTACAAGTGGCAAAATGGCATCAGTGAACATTTTTGCTATGAATACAGCTACATGTTTTGTTCTAGCACTGCTGAGATAGTTTTGTAAAACCTTTGTGTCTGTGTCCCTATACTTAGAAATTTAAACCATTAAATAGTGATAAAAGCTCTTAGCTATATTTATTCCAAAGCTGGAGCCTGCTTCTTCTGATTTAAAAATGGCAGCTCTCTCTTTCTCTCTCTCTCAGTCAAATTTGTTCACTTAATTATGTACCTAAAACAATTACAATTTGAAGTAAAGTATCACTCTTAAATAATGAAAACATTGATAACTTTCAGGTGAATAAAAAGTTATAGATCCCATTTACTTAGAGCAATTTATTAATACATGGAATTCCTAAGAGCATCATTTCTCATTAATAATGTCTTTACATGAACTCTCGTGTATTAAACTTTTGATGTTAACATTTATGGTGCCCAAACCTCCTTCATGTCATATCATTAAGCATTTTAGCTTACTAGTCAGCAAAAGTCCTTTTTATGGCTTATTATAGCTCAAAAGAGAACTATCTGATTTTGATCTCACCTTCAAGTTTCAGCTTTAAGTTCTTATTTATGTACTTATTTATTTTAAATCTGCTGCAGAGTTAATTTTCAAAATTCTCTCTTGCTTTATTTTTTTCAGAAATCTCTTTCATGGGCCCAAAGCATGGTAGGAGTATATAATACATCTTTCCTTTATTAGTAATATACAAATAATTTCTCAGAATGTTCCACTCTCATTTTTATCCTTATCATAACATCCTCAGTAGGCCCAGAGTGATTTTGATTTGGACAAGCCCTTTGTCATTTTCCTTAGTGGGACCTACTATACTCCGAGATTTTAAAAAAATACTTCAACATGACATTTTAAGTGAGTAAGAAATAAAATTAAGATAATGCGATTATTACTAATGATGTAAACCTAACTAGTCTTGGAAATGCAGTGAATCTCATGACTATCTGATTTATGGGACTTGGTTTCATGACATTCACCCATAAACCTAACCAGAAAATTTATTTTAGGCAAGCTGTTGGTACCAGGTTGCTAGGAAATGAATAACAGTGCAAATTTGATGTATTCTGTTTAAGTAAGTGTTACTTTTCATTTGGTAAGGAGGAGCAGGAAGACAAGAATATTATCTCCTCTAGAGAGTCTTTCGTGATTTGCTTCTGAACTCAGAATTGACCACTCTTTTACTATCTCTCCTAAGTGTGCAGATTTATATATTAAAGAATCCTTATGAAAAATTATTTTTCTTGTCTTCCTCCCCAAACTTCAGGGCAGTGATTTGATCTGACTCAAAACTGTATCTCTGGCAATTAGGGGTTCTCACTAGGTGTTCATTAAATGTTTACTGAATGTTACATTGCATATAAATTGTTCTTAACCAATAAAGAATAAGAGGAAAATCTTTTAATTCTCCTTGGAACATGAGATCAGAATTAGATCATAAACTATTATAGCATTTGAGACTTACTACCTGATTACAAACACTTTAACATGCAACTTGCTAGTCCACATTATTCACCAAACTCAAAAGTTAATGTTACTATTTTAAAACTCAATTCACCCACGTTTGCTGCCATTATGTGTATTCAATGTTCCGATAACACATGTCAAATTAGAGGGAATATCTTAAATACGAATAGTTTCATTGGAATAAAATTTGACCTTTCTGTAGTAGTAACTATTTTATGAGATTAGGCAAATTTATTGTTACTATATAAAAAATGACAACATCCATTTATAGCCAAACTTTGTATAAAAGAAACACTCTGATTTATTTTTAGCAGTGTTTGGGAAGTCTCACAAAGTTAGCTTTAAGTAACCATGTATAAACATTGGAAATAGAAGAAACCAATGCAAATGAATGTAAAAACAGTATTTCTTAGTAAGCAATCTAAACAAATTATACAAAGTATATCAATATGTCTCTTGTAGATGAAAATCTATCCTCTATCGCCTTATCAACAGTTATATAATCAGTAGTTATTAACTAATAACAAAATGTATGGGTTGATAAGAGTCTAACCCTCCAAAAAATAAGCAAGCAAAATTAATAGTGATTTCTTTCCTAATCATCTTAACATTTTCCTTTCTTTGACATCATTACTTGATCTTTTAAAAATAAGAAAGCTTGGAAGGTCTGGAATTTTCTTAACATGAAAACAGAAGCATCATTTAACAGATGTCATTACTTGAAAACATGTTAGTTAAAAAGAGTTGTAAATTATGGCTATTCTTAGCAAAATAGAATAGTAGGGATGAAAAAGATCTTATTTGTTTATTTTTCTTAAGGAAAACTTTTTTCCTTATTAAATATGCAGCAAAGCAACATATGGAAATAAATAGAAATGGATGAGGCCCACAGAGTTACTTGCCAGCTCATTCTTTCAGTTGGAGTTACGGATGTAAGGGATATCTATAGAAAACTCAAACTTCAGGGAACAAACAAGTCTTCATGGACACAGCCAAAGTCTGCCATTCCCCAAGAAAGCATGACTGTCCTGTGGCCACAGAGTCCATTTACAGCAGCATATGCTGCATGCCCATGCTGAAATCATGTTTCCATTTAATATTTCTAGATAATATTTAAAATATAATCACTAATGGAAATGATTATTAACTATTAAAACTTAATTTCAATAAGTTAGTTCCCATAAAACAGAAACGGCATTATTTTTCCTTACTGTTTGAATTCTTCTTTCCTATCACTAAGATGGCTGCCTATGTAAATGCACTATATTTCTTTGCTTTGCAAATAAGCTGTCTAAAACAAACTCTATAACTCAACTTCTGGCTTTGCTGTAAACCACATACTAGTTAATAGCTTAGCATGCCTGATTTGACTGGCATTTTCAAAATTGATTTATTTCACTCTGCAAAACTGATTAGCTCTAATCTTGCAAATGCAATAGGTTTCTCTTGCCATGGTTATTATTATGAAACATATAGATACGTTATGTCATCTCTTGGTTTATATAATTGTGATTTTTTCATTCATTTCCAAGAGAAAACCTATCCCCAAAGCAATAGGTTCTGCCATTTTCTATTAATGATAAAGTGCTATGTATTATCTTAACAGCAATCAGGCTACAAAGAGGGTTCTATACAAACCACCATAATCCAAACCCGGAAGTAATCCCTGGGAGGAACTGATGTGTCTTTAATTTTTGCAGTCGATGTCTTAGAATTTAAACATAGTTATCCTTGAGTTTGTGGTTTGCTTCTACTGCCTATGGATAGCTGCAAAGAACAGGCTAAACATGATAGACTTCCTGAATATTTTAAGAATATTCTGAATAATTAAGTAGGGATGGTGACAAGTTAGGCTGTATTAAGGTAACAACATCTCTTTCTGTTTTCTTTAATAATTGCTATTCTCAAATTGTAATTCTTTTTTGAAAATTGACTACAGCAATTTGACAAGTATTGTATGTATTTATACTTTACCTTTTAATTCTATATAAAATGACTTCTGTTCATTCACGTTGAAACTACATAGATCTGCTATCCTGGATAGTTACTTCATAGCCATATGAGCAAGTTATTTTGATAAATGTCTTTCAATTTCTGTGTCATTATCAAGTAAGAAAGAACTTTGAGAATTCTATATCTTTTTTTGCTGTTGATGAGAACCCTAATTAAGTTATACTTACAGAAATTTTGGAAAAGTATGATTCTCTGAGATTCCTCTTAGATTATCAAGAGGCAGAAAGGTAAAATAATGGGAAATCACATTTTAAAAAATCCTTCTGTTTCATACTGTATATGGTTATATGAGGAAAAATGAAATAATTTTAAGATAAGCTCAAATATTTTTAATTTTTATTTCAAATTTCAAAGAGAATGAATTATATTCAATACAAAAGTCATCTACTATGACTGCAATAACTACATTTTAATCAATAATTCATATATTTGTATTTGCATAAATTCCACCCATTTTCTCATTATACTATTGCAAGGTTCTTTGTATAGGACTCTGCTTTTAAAGAGCAACGAATAACAAAAATGAGTAATACACATTAGACCTGAAAAAATCATATCAACACTCATCTATATCAAATGTATTTATAATATTAAAAAACAATGAAATTCGACATAAATATGAAAAACTCCTTTGTGTAAAATGAGCAACTTTAAATTTTTAAATGGTTTTTTGTTTTTCAAAATCATTGCGCCAAGGTAAAGCAAAGCTCTAGTTGATGCGGGCATGTTGTGTAGACATTAGCAGTACAGCGCTCACTATACACTCATTGGACAGTAGCACAAGCCCCAGGAAATGATGGTTAACTTATGTGAACTTCACCTAAAAATATACTTACATCTTTATGCAAAGGTGAGTCTCCCAGCTAAGATAACATATTTTATATTTGCTGCAGTGGTAAACAAATCACAGCTAGGATGATGTTCTTCTAAATATTATTTATAGTAATGAAATATGAAAACATCTTAAAAGTCAATCTTAGCTAAATAAATAAAGGTACATACTTAAGAAGGGAAACTATCCAACAGTCATTATAAATGACATCATATATTGACATGGTAACATCTCAATAATATACTATTGAGTTAATTTAAAAGATTATACACAAAAACATATCTAGTATATTCTATTTTATGTAAAATAGTTCTAGTGTATAGGTGTATATAAGAAGAAATGGCTATATGTATTCGACATAAATAATGGTTGCCTTTGGGCAGCTGGATTGATACTAATATATATTCATGGATATTCGACAATGAATATCTGTTTCTTGGCCAACTGGTAAAAGCACTGATAATCTTTCTGCAATGACTCTGAATCTTTTTTTTTTATTTGTGCAAATTTATAAGGTGCATGAGGAAATTTGTTACTTCTAGATAATGTGTAATTATCCTCCAGATGTGTGCCGCACTGTGGAGACTATTTGTGGTCTTCTCATCTAAGACATTTTAAGTTGATATAAATATGAACATATTCTGAGCAGCTACAGTCAAGTTATAAGTAACCCCTCTGTGATTACTCCTGAAATCTGTATGGGAGAAAAGCAGGACACAATACAGTTCAGTAACAAACACATATACTAATGGTCAAGCGTTCTTAGGTAAAATATACCATTTTATGAGAAGAGAGCAAGGCAATTCAATTTTTTTATAAGCAAAAATGGAGACAGGTGAGATAATTAGAAAAACATGATAAAGCACAAAACAATTGCAAAGGCTCAGAGTCAATGGCTGTCTAATTGAGATGAAAGACCTTAACATTTGCTCCAATCTTTGCTTAAAGAAATAAATCTAAAGACCCAATTCTGGCCAGGTGTGGTAGCTCATGACTATAATCCCAGCACTTTGGGAGGCTGAGGCAGGTGGATCACTTGAGGTCAGGAGTTCAACACCAGCCTGGGCAACATGGCAAAATCCTGTCTCTACTGAAAATACAAAAATTAGCTGGGCATGGTGGCGGGCACCTGTAATCTTAGCCACTAGGGGGGCTGAGGCAGGGAGAATTGCTTGAACCCTGGAGGTGGAGGTTGCAGTGAGCTGAGATCATGCCACTGCACTCCAGCCTGGGCAATGGAGCCAGACTCCATTTCTAAATAAATAAATAAATAAATAAAGACCTAATTCCAATGTAAAGTACAGATTTGAGTGATAACAGTGAGTCAAGGTAGGTTTAAAATGTAAATGTAGGTTTAAAAAAAGTACCAGTCTGGCGTGGGTTATTGATAGCGGGCAAAGTTGTGCATGTGCAAGGATGGGCTGTATGGAGACTCTCTGTACGTTCCACACAATTTTGTCCTCAAACTAAAAATGCTACTAAAATAAAGTGTATTAATTAAAAAAAATTCTGGCCAGCCAAAGTGGCTTACACTTGGAATTCTATCACTATGGGAGGCCAAGGCAAATGGATCACTTGAGACTAGAAATTCAAGCCCAGCATGGGCAATATAGCAAGACTGTCTCTACAGAAAATAAAAAATAAAAATTAATTAAAAAAAATTAAAGACCCTCTTTTAATTTAGCTGTCAGAACCACAATAGTGGTTGTCTTCTGATCATCCCAGAGGATTCAACTGAGATTCAATTTTCTTCATGTGTCTCCAGAATTCATAGTCAGAACAGGGGGATGGAGTCAATAAGATCCCACTCAGTCACGTCTGCCATTTTCCCCTCTCAAAAGGAACAAAGAGAAGGCATCCTTCCAACCTGCTATTTCAGAGGCGTGGGAAAGGAATGAGACAGCTATACTATGCTTTCTTTCTCTTTTTTTTCTGTACCCCAATAAAACAGTCTACTTTACAGGCTAGACACGAAGGGTACAAAATTTGTTTGAAAAATACAAAGGTTGTTGCAGGGAGCTGTAAGTCTTTAATCATATTTCATGCCTTGTAAGGGTACTATTAGCCTCCAGATAAAAAGTAAAATTCAAACCATTATACCATCAGCCTGGATCCATGTTAAACAAACCAACTTGGAGCTTTCAGCAGGCTATGATGAAATACATGTCTAGGTACAGAAATAGCCCTGTGCCATAGGGAGATGCTGTATCATCNATAACTATTCAAGCTAAAGAGCCATGTTTTAAAGCAGTTAAGTAAGAGATTTTCTTATTGCAGAAAGTGTAGAATTATAATTTTAATTTTAATGTCAAAATAGATTTAAAAAATTTGAAACCAACTTCTGGATGCGGCACAAAAAAGCAAGAGGCTTGGAGCACATTCGTAAATTCAATGTACTAAAGAGAGAAAGAGTATTTGCTTAGCCAGTGCTGAGTAACAAGTTATCCCTAAACTTAGTAGCTTTAAATAACAACCATTTTAGCTTTTCTTGATTCTACAGGTTAGGAATTTGGGCAAGGCTTAGCTGGTTTTGTTATTCTGGTCTGTTTTAGGCTGGAAGATTAAGAATTCCGTTTTTCCCCCACATTTCTGTCACTTCATATGGCCTCTCTCAGTTTGGCTATCTTGAACTTCCTCTCTTCCTGGAGATGTCAAAACAATTGGATTTCTTACACAGTAGCTGGCTTTTATAAGGGAGAAAGAGGAAGTCACAAATCTATTGCCATCTAGACACGGAATCAATTGGCATTATTTCTATTCCACTCCATTTTATTTGAAAAAGCCAGTCACGAAACAAGTCCAGATTCCAGAGAAGGTTGCAATGGACCCCATCTTTCATTGACAGGCATGAGAAAGAACTGATGATCAATTTTTAATCAATAAAAGGAGGGAGTAAGGGGTCTTTACAGGGTATTTGACAAAAGCATCCGCTTCTACTAGGTAACTGAGGTTAATCAAACTAGAGACTGGTTTATGATATTTGAACTGATATTTTCCTCATTATCTGGGTTGGAGAGAGGATATGAACTTGATAACACTGCCACTATTTTAGAAAAGTCATGTAGCATATTATATTGCTTTCTTTTATATCTTGACAACTGTATATACCTATAAAAATGAAACAAAGAAATAAGCAAACAAAAACAAACAACCCAAAATGTATGCACTGAGTTATTCCAATTTAATTTGGATGGCGTTGGATCACTACCTTTTATTTTCCCACTTAAAAAATATGTTAACATGGGCCAGACGCTGTGTCTCACACCTTTAATCCCAGCACTTTGGGAGGCCGAGTTGGGAGGATCATGAGGTTAAGAGATTTAGACCAACCTGGCCAACATGGTGAAACCCTGTCTCTATTAAAAATACAAAAATTAGCTGGACATGGTAGCACATGCCTGTAGTCCCAGCTATTCAGGAGTCTCAGACAGGAGAATTGCTTGAACTCAGGAAGCTGAGGCTGCAGTGAGCTGAGATCACGCCACTGCACTCCAGCCTGGTGACAGAGCAAGACTCTGTCTCAAAAAAAAAAAAAAAAAATTAGTGTTGATGTAGTTACAGAAAAAAAAGCCACAAAGAAAAAAATTAATTCTCATTACCCTCGGTACAGAATATGTTCTTCTAAATGTACAGGTAAAAATTTACAAATGATAGAATTGAAAAAAAAAAAAAAAACCACGATTGTGGTAAACCGAATCATGCTACTCCTCCCACAGATTTTCATATTGTAATTTTAGAAACCTGTGAGTATGTTACCTCACATGGCAAAAGGGACTTTTCGGTGGGGATTAAATTAAAGATTTTGAGATGAGATTAACCTGGATTATTAGGGTGGCCCCAATATAATCCCAGAGGTCTTTATAAATGAAAGAAAAAGGCAAAAGTATGAAAGAGAAGGGTTGTGATGATGGAAACAGAGTTCAGAATGATGAGGTAAGGAGCCAAGGAAAGCAGGCAGCTCCTAGCAGCTGAACAAGGCAGGGAAGAGATTCTCCCCTGGAGCCTAAAGAAGAAACACAACCTTTCATTTTAGCCCCATAAGATCCATTTCAGACTTCTGATCTGCGGAACTATAAAATAACATATTAAGCCACTAAATTTGTAGTAGTTGGGTACAGGAACAATAGGAAACAAACTATTAATCATTTAAAAGGAATTTATAATTATTTTAAGTGATAGCTAACATAAACAAATCAATAAATCATTTAGAAACAATTTAAACTAATGGCACAAAAATGGTAGTTCACTAAAAATAGTGAACTACAATAATCTATTAAACTATTGCATCTGAGGTTCATAAATACTCTGATTTTTAAGTAATAATATTGATTGAAGGCATGCAAACTATGCTTTGAAAACTGCATCATAGATACATAATTCCTTTCTGAAGCATATTATTTAATCTACTTTAAAATTTTGAAAATATACACAGACACCCAATGATAAATTAAATGCACTTACTTTATTTTAATTTATGCAAAATACATGCAAAGTGTTTGGTTTATAAATTCAGGGATCTTCCCCTATCGGAAGGAAACAAGCTTTTCCATTCAAAATCATTTGATGTGACTGGGAAATAGGCTTTAAATGGTGTTGATTTACATATTAGAAAAGTTAAAAAATGTAAACTTTTGATATCTCAAGGACTTCTATTTGGCTTTATAGAAAATTCTCAGAAAAAGAGCATTGTGTTACCAAACAAAGCAAAACATGGTTCTCACAATTCTACATAAATTAATCTAGAGATAAAGTTTACATCTTGAATTTTGTTAGTAATTTTGAATTTATAATTTATAAACCTTAAAAATTTAAGAGTATAAATCCTTTAATAATCAATTACCACATCCAATTAGCCCATAAGCACTGAAATATACAACTGGGACAAGAGCTCGTTTCAAATCTCAAAATACAAAGTCAGTTAATTCAGAACTCCATCTGTGCCTCAGTCTCTAGAGTCTGACAAACAGCC